GCCTTTGAGTAACAACTCAGCTTTTGATCCGTTCGCAGTTGAGTTAGAGAACGTGTTTATCGAAGAAGGTTTGGAGTGTAAGGTTGACACTTCGAGTGTGGCTATTGGCCGTAAGTACGCTCGCGCAGACGAGCTAGGCATTCCATTTAATGTCACAATCGACTTTGACACGGTCCAAGACCGTGTGGTCACCCTTCGCGAGCGTGATTCGACGGCTCAGGTGCGGATCTCAATGGATGATATTGGTGCTGTGGTGAACAAGCTTGTCAAGGGCTCGGCTACGTGGGAGCAAATGCTTGAGCGATTTCCAAACGTTGCGAGTGCTGTTGAGTAGTTTGGTGAGAGAATGCTTGATAGAATTCAATCAGTGCGATTTACTGCGTGGTGGTAATTCATTACTTTGCGCTTTACTATTCTTTTATCTAGTAACCTACGAAACAGCATATGGATACAGTTGATGATCGTACTTGTCCCACTTTGATTTTTTGATTTAGATTACGACATACCGTATAGTCATTGAATTTAGCTTGACAAGATGATATGAATGGACGTGATCGAATTCAGTACATGAAACGTCATCAAGATACCAAAATTGGTTTGATTTGTCATACATGCGGTTTTACCGAATGTAAAAGAATATGTAGAGCAGCCTTTTTAGTAAAATAGAGCAGAAGATCAGCGTGCCCATCGTAAAGCCGTAGTTCAAGTGCCAGAATACGTTCTGGGATCGATTGGTTAGTTGATTTTTGGCACCACGTACTAGCTTCGGCACAAAACAACATTTGTTAGCTCCTAGCTCCGACGATGAAAAGTCATGTGTTGCATGCTTTGAACCCAACGTTGCGGTCGCAGCAGACGAAATGGGTGATGAAGAGGCCTGTGCTCGATGATGCACCAAACTAGCACATGCCTATCAGGCGGTCGCTTTTTCCTGATAATCGCGCGCTGTTAATGTGAAGGTGTTCATGATATCATAGCGCGAATTTGCGTGTGAAGTGTCGCATACGTCGGGTGATTCACGTCAGCGCAGAGATTTTTTTTATGCCATTTGTAAGACGAATGAATAATCTGTTGGTGTGAGGTTTGCGCGTAAATATTGAGGAGACAAGCAGCAATCGATTATTTTATAAGCTCCAAAAATTCTACGCTGTCTTTTTTTTAAATCCCAGAAATTTTATAAAATAATTGGACCTCAGAGGGCACTAAATTCTGTGCTGTCTGCCGGATATCATTTTGCATATCATGCCAAGCTCAGATCCTAACGAAACCGAGCGCATGACCAAGCGTCAGCGTTTGCAAGACCGCAATGTCGTCGCTATCAAACCATTAGTTCCACCCGCCTGCGTTCTGGAGGAATTTCCTGTTACCCCCGCGGTGCACGAGCTCGTGGACACCACGCGTGACGCAGTGTCTCGGATTTTGCACGGTCATGACGATCGCCTCGTTGTGATTGTGGGTCCTTGCTCCATCCACGATGTCGATGCGGCTATCGATTATGCAAAGCGTCTTAAAATCTTGGCTGATGAGTTGAGTGGTGAATTGTTGGTAGTCATGCGCACTTACTTTGAAAAGCCTCGCACGACTGTGGGCTGGAAGGGTTTGATAAATGACCCGGACCTTGATCAGTCCTTTAATATCAACAAGGGCATTCGGGTGGCTCGTAAGCTCTTGTTAGACATAAATACGTTGGGTCTTCCTGTCGGTTTGGAGTTTCTCGACACGATCTCGCCCCAATTCACCTCGGACCTCATTTCGTGGGGAGCAATTGGAGCACGTACTACCGAGTCACAGCTGCATCGTGAACTTTCCAGTGGATTATCGATGCCGGTAGGATTTAAAAATGGTACAAGCGGGGACGCAAAAGTTGCGGTGGATGCGACAGTTGCTTCATCGCAGCCCCATAACTTTTTGGGGCTTAATGAGCATGGTCTCGCGTCCATTGTGCGCACGAAGGGCAACAAAGATTGCCACATAATTCTACGCGGTGGTTCTGATGGACCTAATTATGAGCACAAATATATTGTCGAGACTGCCTCGATGCTCAAGAAAGCCAAACAGCCTTCAAAGGTCATGGTGGATTGTTCGCACGGAAACTCTCGAAAATTACATTCGAATCAGCTCAAGGTCGTCAATTATCTGGCAGATATCGTGGCGGAAGGTGACATGAATGTTTTGGGTGTGATGATAGAATCTAATATCGTCGAAGGTAACCAGTCGCTTGGTGACGACCCGTCCAAGCTCGTCTATGGTCAAAGTATTACGGACGCGTGTATCAACTGGGATGACACAGTCATGGCCTTGAAGAAGCTTGCGAATGCTGTCGCTGAGCGACGCAAACGTGATGCTGCCAACTAGCAAGTAGCTGTGAAGATGTTCTACACGTACAATCAGACCACATTCTTATAATCATTAACATCGATGGCCATTTTGAAAATTTATCTTATATCTAGCGATCACTTGATACTCAACATTACTTTGTTCACCTTGTTTTTACATTGACAAATGTAATACTGTATTTCAGCCCTATAAATAATGTTAATACTGTATTAAAACCCAATTTTTAAAAAGTTCTACTCACGACGGGACTTGAACCCGCAATCTCTGCCTTAGGAGGGCAGCGCCGTATCCATTGGGCCACGCGAGCATTTGTACAATGTTGGTTGCAAAACGTAGTATCAAATTAATATTTACATTTTGATGGCAATAAATATTTTTGAATCAATCCTTTCGTAGGCAGTGCGTCATTGAAATAATCCTCCTACAACATGAGCACGTTCGGCCGCTTCTTTCGCGTGACAACTTTTGGTGAGTCGCATTGTAAAGGTGTTGGCTGTATTGTTGATGGTGTACCTCCGTCACTCGCTCTCACTGAGGCCGACATTCAGCCGCAGCTTTCGCGTCGCCGACCCGGCCAGAGCAAGCTCACAACTCCTCGCGATGAAAAGGACTTGGTGACTATCATGAGCGGCACTGAAAGAGGATATACGCTTGGGACCCCGGTAGCACTTTTCGTGCCTAATGAGAATGTGCGCCCGAAAGATTACAAGGAGATGGACCAAGTGCCTCGCCCAGGTCACGCTGATTACACGTACCAGATGAAATACGGCATACGCGCCAGCAGCGGTGGTGGTCGTGCTAGTGCTCGCGAAACTATTGGTCGTGTGGCATCTGGTGCTATAGCCGAAAAGTGGCTGAAGGATAAATTCGGTACGTCCATCGTATGTTGGGTGAGCTCTATTGGTACGGTGGACATGCCACGCGACCTGTTAAACGACCCCTTAAAGGCCGTTTACACTCGTGAAGACGTGGATACTGTTGGATCGATACGAATTTTGCGTGACCCTTCCAAATGGACAAAAGTAAATGATGCCGTCGAGCAGCTAGAGAATGATAAGGCATACGACGTCGACTTCGTCAAAGCCGAGGATGACATGACTACGCCGGCGTACATTGACACTGAGAATATCGTGTATAACCGAAATGGGAACGTGGTTCATGCCCCCGAAAACCTGGATGCTTGGCTTACGGATGACCTGATCCCTGTGCGGTGCCCACACCCGCCGTCTGCTTGCGCCATGTCCACGGTTGTGCGCACTATGAAAGTAGACGAAGACTCGACAGGTGGAGTCGTTACGTGCGTTGTTCGTAATGCGCCCGTGGGCCTTGGTGAGCCATGCTTTGACAAGATGCAGGCTGTGCTTGCTCACGCAATGATGTCCATTCCAGCTACTAAGGGATTTGAAATTGGCTCAGGCTTCTCAGGCACCAGCAAGCGTGGATCAGAGCACAACGATCCATTCTGTGCAGGTTTAGACGCAAAGCAGCCGGAAAAACTTGGTGTGACTAAAAACGATGCAGGTGGTGTTCTTGGTGGTATTACGAATGGTGCCGACATTTATTTTCGTGTAGCAATCAAACCCGTGTCGACTATTGGTCGTGCCCAGCCAACGGTCGACTATGACGGTAATGACACCGTGTTAGAGGCCAAGGGTCGTCACGACCCATGTGTACTACCGCGAGTTGTGCCTCTTGTGGAAGCTATGGCCGCCCTTGCCATAGCCGATGCCGCCATGATCCAGTTAGGTCGCGAAGGCAGCAAGCTAGAAGTAGCGTAAGCTTTGAGTGGCACAAGCGTCTGAATAATATAGAGCAAATGGACTTCTTCATTATACATGATACCTGATCAATTAATTTCTCGAAATCTAAGTCTAAGCCGTAACTCACAACACTAAAGTATGCATCGTCTTGGTGGTAATGTGACTACGGTCTGTTAGAACATCCTTCAAACTTTGCATGAAGAACTTTTCGCCCCGGCTCACCACTCAGTTTCCTGACTGCTTTCACTTCACCCACACGGATGGCTAGAAAAACACTCAAACTTGAATATTTGAAGTACAGCTATAAATTGGAGACATTTCAGTTACCAACTTCTGGTTAGCCACAAGCAGTTTCGAGATTGGACTACGTTTCCGGTGTAATTTTTCGATAATGTTCCAGTTGCTCGACAATTCGCACAAACATGTCGAGTCTAAATAAGCGACGAGGCATCGCTTAGCGTCCACACAATATTAGAGCTCTTTGTGTCCACACGCAGCTTGTCACCCTTTACAAATGCAAGACCTGACTGACGGATAAAGGCCTTTCCCGCCTTTCCTTCAAGCTTGAGTTCTTTGCGGATATGCTGCACCGGAAGTGCCGGACGATACCTATCAATCATATAAAAAATCGTAACTTATAATAATCTCGCATGGAAACGTTGCACCAACGTACGCTTTGCACATAGCTCGAAGCGCACTTAATCGGATCGCAGGGACCATCACGTCCATCAAATAACCCGCCATATTTGGAGCACCTACATAGAGTTTAAAAAAACGATGATAATCATTTAAAGCTACCGCCTGACGCACATCCAGCGCGTGAGCAATCGCTGATTCTGAACGCATCGAAGGAGTGACCATAGCAAGTACATTGTACATGCCAAGCTGCCCTGCATTTGAATCACCCTTCTTAGATTGCAAAGAAACGTACACACAATACAAGATGCGGTACGCGAGGAACTCAGTCACCTCGCCGGGGATAAGTTTCTCATATAATTCATGAAGTTGCGTCTGGCACTGATTGAACTCATTAATATCGCCAGACTCGAGGGCAACTCGCGCGTGAGTTTCGTACACGGACACAGTAAATTCGTTCTTAATATGCTGCACCGTACAGTCTTGACGAATAGACTTGAGCTGACTACAGGCATATAAATAATCTCCATCACCCTGCTTCCACTTCGACTTAACGAGCTCCAGCGATTTGTGTAGCACTGGCTCAGGTCTCACGGTCGAAGGATGGGGTGGAGAAGTTAATCGCAAATATTCCTTTTCAACCGTCTGACTAGTACCTTTGATAACCATAGCTGCAAGATCCAGATCGCCTTCCTGCGTTAAAACCTGCAACTTCTTCGTATCCACATCGGGAGTCACCATTCTATCTAGTTCCTTTTGAGTCATACAAAAGCGCTGTCTTCTCTGATCTTTACGCTGCAGATCGGCGTTTTCAATTACAAACCCATCATTTTTGCGTTTAATTCCCTTGTTCTTTCTGCGAGAAGGTGTTTTAATTTCAGGATTCTCAATGGGCTGCGTACTATTGCTACTAAGCGAAGATGCATGGTCACACCCAGCAACTGCAGGCACAGGTCCCGCCGTCCCCATCTTAATCTGCATGGTTGTCGCAGATGTGTCTCCAACAAGCATTGGCAAGGGTTCTGCAGTCCAATTTTTTGTCCATAGACTATTAGACATAATGGCATTCGTAATCATCTCTTTCAAAGAATTTTGGGTTAGCGTCTGATCTGCTGCCCCCTTGCACCGCGCAAACGCTCGCTTGACATAATCGTGCAGAGCATCAGGCCACTTAATATTACCTCCCATAGGTGAAGCAGTAGCAACCGGAGCAGCAGGCGTTGGTGCTGAAAAAAGTCCAGGCGGCGGCCTAAAGCTCCTAGGAGGAGGTCCACGTACCTGCGGATTAATTTTAAACTTCACAGGTGGTGCGGAAGTGACTGAACTTCCTAAAGCTGTAGCTTGAACATGAGTGCCATTACTCCATTGCCACGGAGACGAGGACGTTGTCGGTCGAGGTGGCGGACGCAGGGGTGGCGGTCCACGTCCATTTAATACGAGATGCTTTGGTGGAGGCGGTGGACGAAACACATGATTAGATAAAGGTGGTGGACGAGGTGGAGGAGGGCCACGGGGTACTGCAAATGTGCTTGGACGAGGCGGCGGTAGACCAGCGGAGTGATAAAATTGTGCCTGCTGTTGGATTTGTGGTGGCGCTGGTGAGTTTTTTGCATAGAAGGAAGAGTAGCCTGCAAACTGCGCGGCAGCTGCAGCGGTGGCTTGTTTGGCAGCAAAGCCGGTCTCTTGCGAAGAGTTAGACGCCATGTGCACAACGTGCTCTGAAGTGCGGAATGACTTGATCACACAACCGAAACCCAAATTAATGACTATGTTGCTGTAATCGAATCTTTATTTTATCCAACCGCAATGCTTTATTCACAGCTACAGGGAAATAGCTGGTAGTCATGGCGATGAAAACGCTCGTTCGCCGAGCGACCCTCATGGCTCTGCGCAACAGCCAATGCACATCCTTCTCATTGCAGCATTCTATCGTCTCTGGTATTTCAGTATCGCAGCCGCGCTTTCTGTCGAATAAAAGCGGAGATGACTCGCACTCAGATTTCAAGCCACAGTATCATGCCGCTAAGTCCTCAGAGACAGACGAGATTCTCAAGATGATTGATGATCACGTTAAAACGTACCCTATCATGCTATACATGAAGGGTACACCGTCGGCTCCTCAATGTGGTTTCAGTATGCAGGTAGTACGTGCTTTGCACGCTCAGGGCGTGAGTTTTGACAGCGTGAATGTACTGGACCACCCAGAGATCCGTGAAGGTGTTAAGAAATACTCGTATGTAGTCAGTAAATAGCGATAAAGAGGTTTCAAACGCTGACGTTTTTTATTTTTCATGACAGGCAATGGCCAACGATCCCGCAGCTATACGTTAATGGTGAGTTTGTAGGCGGCTGTGACATTATCATGGACATGAGCAAGTCTGGCGAGCTATCTGAGCTGCTGGCGAACTTTAAGAAAAAAGAGGCATAGAAAGCACACTGAAAGAAGATGCTTGACGCGGGTGATAAAGTCTAACATTTGCAAAGAGAAGATTGCCTTGCGATCTTAGTTAAGCAGTTTAAGCTCGTTGTTTTGGAATAGCTACGTTGCGATGCACTTTGACAATTATATCTACATCGCTTTTGGTTGTTTTAGAGATTGTGCTTATTACTGCACTCAGACGTATTTATAGATGCTTTATTAAATTGCAACGACGTTTAAGACCGATGGTAGCAGTTAATCTGGAGACTAAGTTGGTTAAGGCATGTGAAGAAGGGAATGTCAAAGATGTTTGGTGGATCTCGGTAGGCAATATGAAGTAGCAGCTGAAGATGTGCAAGAATTGATAGGGTATGCGTTTTCGTGTGCTGCCGGGCACAACCAGATCGTCATCATGGAATTGCTATTGTGTCCTGTCATGACACTAGATAGTGACGGGATGACATTTTCGAGAGACTTTAATAAAATCTTGTTGTATGGTATATGTCGCTGGGAAAAGTACTTTCCCCAACGGCCAAGGTTTCAATGCTGCTTTGCGTTGCGGTATCTTGCTTACGCGGCAGTTCTTTGTGTTGAACAAAATGCATTGCAGGCTCTGGAATTACTAATTCAGCCGCAATTTACACCAGTATCTCCTTTACTTGTGAATACGGATGTGCTGCGCTGTTTCTGCTATGCGCTAGAGCTGGGAAGTGAAATTCATGCACCAGCACCAGAAACATACCGACCTGTGCTTATGCTTCTTTTGTATCGCTTTTCGGAGTTGCTGCTCGCACATGTCGATGGCACACATGATTTGGATAAGTCTATTGATGGAACTTTGAGAGGGCACATGGAGGCACTGCGATCCAGCTTATTGTACGAATACGTCACGAATCCACGAATGCACAAACAAGAGTAATACATGATTTACCACAAAGAGTCGAATGCAGTCAAACAAACTCAATACAAGTTGCGCTAGTCGAATGCCATACATGTTGCGCTGCAGTCTGACTTTTGGTCAATTACTTCTGTAAGGCGGCTTTAAAGAGCACGATGATGGCGCTCATGTTATCGCGACTGCCCTTTGCCAGACACTCATCCAGTAGCATTTCAGAAATATCCTTTGGGTCCTTCACGCCATTTTTAAGTTTGCTACGAATAAATTTACGCAGTTGGTCATTGCTCATAACGTCATAAATACCATCACAGCATAAGGCAAGAAATTCGTCTGCCGGGTCGCGCCGCTGCACACGTACGGAGGGCTCCGCCGTCACAAGTTGCTGATGAGGTTTCAAATCAGCATTGCGCTTAAACCACAGATCGCCGAAGCTTCGTGAGACGGCTACACCACCACAGACGCGGCCACGGAAGACTGTACCACCTGCTGCTAGGATGCGCTGTTTTTCAAATTCCAAGTCCGGTTTGTGGTCGACCGACAGCTGTAGTACTTCTGGAATCTTGGAATTACTCATAATGCAGCGCGAATCACCCACATTTGCGCATACAATATCCTTTGGTGTGATAATTGCAAAAAGTCCTGTTGAGCCCACTTCATCACAAGATGTGGCATACTCTGGGTCTTTCTTGAGCATTTCGTCCACAACCAAGAACCCTTCACATAGAGCTAAAGCCAGCGACTCCGGAGACCGATTATCTTTTTGAAAAGCTTCGGTTGAAATGACGGCTTCAATAATTTTTTCCGCACTATGAAGTGAATTGTTTAGTATCAGTTTGCTCTATACTCCGATACGGGCGGTCACGCACATGCACGCGGCGACAGCCGGTCCACCATGTCCATCAAAAACAGCAACGCAGGTTGTGTCTGGTACATTTGGATGCATCGGGACCATTACAATGTCTACGTCCTGGCAGGTCATAAACATTGAATCAAGTCAAAACAACTGCCGCATAAGCATGAAAAAAAATACTGGGGCTTGTCTTTCCTCCATGGTATCCCGCCATCCTTGCATACAAGCCTTTCCTATTGACATATTAGATGCGAAAATGCTCTTTGACGTCTTTATCGTGATCGGTTCAGCCAGGAAGCGTGACATTATATGACTTGTTTTCGTGTGGAGCGAAAATTAGGAATTGTAAGTTTATGTAAGCTTAGAGTACACGAGTCTGGTATTTTATATTTGAAGTCAGAAAATTTCCGAGAAAATATTTATCTGGTTAACATGAAGTCATAGCCACTCAATTACGAGTCATTGATGCCGATGCGTAAAGTATGCAATTAAGTAACTTGATAAGCGCTCCCGCAAATTGAAAACCGTATAACAGAATATAAGAGCAGGAGAGGGTGTGACAGCCAAAGTTTGTAACCTTCCATTACATCTGCGTAGCCTTATGCTTTATTCCCATCGAACTTTGCGATTATTAGTAGCCTACCATACCAAAAATATGTTTCTTGCATACCCAAGTCTAACGTTAAATTCAAATGACCCACAGGAGAAATTACCTTCAATACATATTTTCTACCGCTTGGTAGATTGAAGGAATTGTGCAAGAGGATTTATACCCCATGCGCATGCTGAGGGTGAGGCGAGACTGTGAGAGATGCTGACAGGATTCACGTGCAACCGTGTCTATAGTCGGGTGCATCCCGCTATCTGCAGTAAGCTTCCAACGAATGACTAGGTACTTTTCACACATCTTTTCCCCCGCTAATGTAACGGGTAGCGGCTTGTCATCTAAATCGTCACCACTATGCACACGACACTGAGAAGTGATCGCAGTTTGACGCAAATTTAAATTTGATCTTCAAGATGGTGGTCGGTCATGCTCGAATTTTTGTGTGTCCACAAATTTGGGAAGATAGGTAAGTGTGAAAGTGTAAGTGAAATTGAAATCGCCCGTCCATGTACACACACTTTTCAACTGACACGCACATGCAAGTTGTTCACTTCTTTCCGGCCGTTGACTTACGGAAGGACGAGAAAAAGTGACATTTATTATTGCCAATAGGCTTTTAACCTCCATAGCCTGATAAGTGCCTCCAGTTTTAATACAACAGATTTGTTCAACTTTCCAGGGTGTACAATTAATGTTCGACAATTCAAGTATGCGGTCAACACAACATGTGTATTACACCGCCACGCACTCAAAAGCGGGTTTACTCGAATTCTCAAATCTTCTTTTTCTTCCTCCTCCATTTGCGCTATCGTGAACTTGATCATCATGATGACTTTCATGAAAGACGTGCGTAGAGTTCAACGATCTCTTTAGTCGTCTGGTTGCTCAACTTATGACTCGAATCGCGTATTTCGCACCGCCGAACCGATCATTCGCGCTGGCGGTGAACCACAAGCCTCACGTATATGTCATACGTCCCAGACAATATTCTGGGCATGGGCCAATGCGACTGAATTCGTGGATATCTACCGTTTCAAAGCGCGAACATCGCTGCAGAGTTGTTGATAGTACGCGATATGCGCATTTAATTTGCGCATTTGACAGCTCACAATCGGTTTTACTTTAGTATCGTGGGTGTTCATGGAGTACGTTTCGTCATCAATAATATTCACGACGAGAGGGGCAGAGTGAGGAGAGGAAGAGACAGCTCTCCTAAGCGGGCTACGACGTCGGTTCCACATTGAACGCGCGAACGATACTGGAAAAGTCGCACCGGATACGAGTACGAGGCCCCCATCGCTAGAAATCCTACCCATTCCACCAAGAGCTCCTCCCGATCGCGGACGTTCCTTTCCGCCACAATGTCGACGTGGTAGTATTGTTTTCCTTGTTGATAATGAAGGGAGAACCGGAAGGGCCTCATCCTTGCTTCTTCTGTAGTCCTCGTCCGCCTTAGAATTGCGTTTGACGAACGTTGAGGGGTAATTTTCACTGAGAACCAGCGGCTGATCGAGGTTACCGATCGGCGCGACAACGCGAGAAGGATAATCAACAAGTCGTTCGCGAAGCTCGCGATTTCGCATGGCGTCATAGAAACTCGCCTGAGGATGCAATCGAGAATCGAATCCATCGATTGGAGCGGGATCCGTATGCTATTCGTCCTGATGCGGCTGCTTCTGCTGATGATGTGGAGCCTCCTTCCAAGGAATCTCGCTCTGTGGGGGCGTCCCGGTTATTTTCGTCATTTTGAGGACGATGCTGAGGCGATGATGCCAAGGGGCTCAAGATTCGACCCTCGTGCCAAAGCCATGGCTCTTAAGCCACTTTCGAATAAGACTGCTTTGTATCTAGGCTGGAAATTGCGTCGTCGCGAAGGTAGGACCTGAGGAGCCCTTTGAAGAATGCTGAATATGTCTTTAGCCAAAAAGGCAGGTCGATAGTGCAAGCATTTCTATGGTATAATGTAACTCGAAATAAACTGATGAAGCTAGGTGATAGCTTCAAGCTCCCCAAGCTTGAGACTGCATCGTCTGATATGTTCCTGATACTAAGTAGTATGTAATCTCAACCATCTAGGACATTTTGCCTTGGTGACCTCGCCTATCTGTGTATTCCTTTTGTATAACTTGTGCATTCGCCATTGCATTTTGCATCCGCGTTGTCACATTTACACGACTCATGATGAATGAGTCCAAGGCGTCCTCGTACTTGCGCTTCACATTCGCATCATTGATTGTATCAATTTGGAAGGTGCCGATTTGCCGAGCTCTTCCTTCGCTTACATCAGAGACACCACCCATCGCACAAAGCGGTACATGCGGATGTTGCGAACCATTCATAAAAAATGGCGTCAATCCAGTGGATGAATGAACTGAACTGTTTATAGCAAATTCAACCGCATTCTGCGAAATTTTCTACACAACAGATTCTCAACACATCACCGACCACGTTCTGTTTGCCCATCGGTATCCGGGTATACTGCTGTGGACATGTTCAAGCGAGTGCCAAAAATTGAATAATTATTTCCGACAGCCACACTTGAATCATGTCTCACGATCATATACGATAGCGTGTGGCAACCCGTGATGCGTAAAACGTGTTAATTTAACCAATTTTCCGGCAGCGATGCCATCAATCTTGCTGAGTCTGTCAACAAAGACGAGCATTATATTATAACCATCAGCATTCTCGGTAAAGCCGAAAATTAAGTCGAGACCGACTGACTTCCAACAGTCAGTAGAGACAGGAAGACTCTCACGGTCTTCACGTATCGTGCCACCTACTTGTAAATGTGGGGCTACCAAATTTGGGCACTGAGAGACCGGTAGATTCTCTCATGGTAAAGTGACCGGCCGTCGGCGTATCATGCACCTCGTAAACTATATTGTACTTCAAAACATTGTAGAGCGGAACCACAAACCGTGGTTCATCGTCATGTGCAGCTTAATAGTGAAGAAGACCATCCTAAGGACTTCGCCCTTGAAATCCAAAAGAAGCGGATAATAAGAATCATTCGGATTCTTCAGTATAGTCGCATGTCGTCAAAATGTTTCGAGAACCGAATCATCCATTACTGATGATGAGCGTAGTTCCGCTGAGTCGACTTTTGACAGTAGCAACGACCTCCCAAAGTTTCTCGAGCTGCACCAGCTCATCCATCGTCAGCATCGGTGCCGAAAAAGATCTGTTCTGGTTATTTGACACCGATTTGTTGTATCCACAATACATGGACCAGCATATTCGCATGCTATAATTTAATCATGGGGAGTAGTAATCAACACCTGCGGACTCAACCGCATCCACCGCGGAAGTACAAATACCGCTATCACCGAATTCCGTTGATTCCTTCACATGTGTGCGCTCATCCACACAACGGATGGGAGCAGCACCTTTGTGGTCAGTTGTGCCCGCTGATCTACAGTCCGGCTCAACCACTGTGTAGTCGGAGTATTGGTTCGACTTTCCGACACGGGGGGCAACAAATGGCATCTCTAACTTTTTCTGTTGGGTTAATCACCATGCCCATCAACGATTTGTTCGTTTCCAAGTGGCCAGTTTGGACACCACTTGATCTATCGACACACTTCTTGAGTGACCGCTCGTTGCCACTCCATACGTCTCCCTGTGTTTTCTAACCAAGGGAATGTCAATTGCATGTCATATACCAGATCATTTCCAGCAGCATACGACTGCCGAGCACTTGAGCGCTTCTGCTGAATAGTAGATGTGGGTTCATTACTCCCACGAGTTTCACCTACACCAGGAGAGCTACTCCCAATCCTTATCGACCGCGAATCGATCCACGGCTTGTGTTTCTCAAGCCACGATATACCTAAAATTAGGTCATACAGGACTGTGAAATCTTCTTCGAGTCGAGTTTTCACAGTTCAGATGATATTTAGCCATAGTTTTCTTCTCGATGATCACCGCACCTGAGATAAAGTCATTGCTTATATCTAGTGCATCCAACAGCGCTGCATCGTTTTCAGCAACATTTTGCTTCCGCGCGACGCGCCGGAGTCAGAATAAGGCTCTAAACGGACGACCATAACCCTTTAAACTTGCAGCCCTCGTGAGTGGTTCTACCATCACATCCACAAGAGCTTATAAATTTTCCGGTAGACCACCCTGAACCTACTGGGCTCCGGCGTTTTCCCGAATGCCTCGTGGTATTGGCACCACGCGGCTCGGGATCGTTAAAACAAGAACTATATTAAAAGTTTGTCTCTCACGTTGGTCCATCAAGGTGTACATGATCGAATTGTTGACATGCATACCAGCCAATTTGCTGCCTAAAGACAATCACCACGCTAGGATCAATTATCGTAGCAGCAGTCACTGCTTCCATCGGGTTGACCGATTAGTCACATGCTTGACAATGCACTCATAATTATTTGCCATATCGCATTTGGATGGCCGTGCGAAGTATTGGGCGATAGCATGGGAAGTCAACCGCCCTAGCTACTTGCCACATGGCAATAGTTGAAAAAGGCCATGGAATCGATGTCCCTTCCACCGAATGTTTCGACAGCGCATATTGTACGACTATGTACAGAAGCTACGTGAGCTTCTTGCCAGTATGGCACGTAAGCCA